ATCTTTCCTTTTCAGTTTTGCTGTCCCTCCTGCACATCCTGACTTTCTGAACAGCCTTCAGCCAGGTCCTGAAGAGCAGTGTTCACCTGCAAAGGCTGGGACTAGACCCAAGTTTTATCAAGTTGGCTGAGAACACTGCCTTATTTTTAAGTGGTAGCTGAGTAGCGAGAAGTAGGAGTAAAAATCATTGTGCTTTTCCCCTAATCATATTCAGCCCCCTTAGCGATACCAAAACACAAGTAACCATAAATATATCCTTTGCATCACAACACTGTAACACCCTCAGGCTTCACTGTCAGGAGGTGAAGCTGTACTGCAAAATCCAAGCTGTTCGGGAATTTGCAATACATACAGAAAGTTCAGAACTGTCCTGGAAGGAGTGTCAGTCTGTTATGCTACAAGGTGACACGTACAAAGTCAAACAAGATGCCTGTCCTACCCCATGTCCCACAGTTCCCTCCCTCCCCCTCGCAACTTACTTAATGGGTTCAGTGGGATCAAGTCGTTTGGCTTTCTGCTCTGGGGAAAGCTGCTCCCATTTAAAATGTAGACTCCAGTCAAAACCTAAAAACAAAGCAGAGAAGAACCATTGGGCACGGATTAGGAAGCCATTCTATCTCTCAGGCTGCAGAAGATGTGTTTCATGAAGTTATATTCTCCACTTTTAAATGACTCAAGCCATAGAGATGCAGCTCTTGGGAGATGAGTCCAATGACTAACTTTTTTCTACTGCATATGAAAGAAAAATAACATATTGCATTACAACTGCAAAGTCAAGCACTCCAAAAGCTGGAAACATCAAAATTAAAGCTGCTGATGAAACCTTACTTTGTCCCCTTGTGCATATAGATACATGCTCTGATGGATATTGCATGCTACAAATAGCACAGGCATACTAATAAGTGCTACAATTGCATCCCTCATTTGCTGCCTAGACATCCCCTATCTCTTCTCTTCAGCAACCTGGCTTTCACTGCTGCAACGGGTTGCTTTGACATGACACTTCTGCCCTGCTTGACTGCCTCATCCACTGTAGCAAACACCACTCCTCATGTCACGTTCACCTATCCCTAAGCTAGCCTGAAAACTGCCGGAGGGGAGCACTGAACAGGGCTAACACACTTTTCGCAAGATACCCACATGCAGTGGTGCAGTCAAAGAGCAGCAAGATCATGCTCGGCAACCCCAGCCTCCTCTGGCTGAGGGCTGCTGCATGCTGTGCGCTGCAGGACGGGCGCCCAGCAGGGCATGAGCGCTGCTCGTGGACTCACCTCCTCTGAGGTCTGAGGAAGCTGCCACATAGGCAAAAGTGTCCAAGTTGATGATGTCAATAACGGGACTGACCACCCTGGTGGGATCCTGAAAAGCAGAGACAAAATAACCCGTGATTTCAGCTCATACCTTGCGACAAAATATGCACAGCAACTAGACAGGGGATGGGCTCTGGCTGCGTTAGGCAGCTGGAAATCTCAGTGACCGATTTCTTGCAGAGAAGTGTCCATCACAGTCTCACCCTTCTCAGCAATCACATCCATTCATCCAAGGAATTAACGGCAGCATCCGCTAAATGGCACTAAATTCCTGGGAGCCCAAGGGGAGGGCACGCCACCAAGGTGCATATGGGAAGGTGCATACTTTCTCTTCCAGGAAAGGAAGACCGCTGAGCTAGCATCTTTCATTAGCTGTCATTTCACCCACAGACTCTCCCCCCACAGGCTGTGCGCCTGTATTCAGCACTGAACTTGGCTGATAAATCCTCAGCTGAATGCAAAGCGCTGCCTTTCTTTTAGAGATTCATCAATGTGTTCCCCTTTCACCTCCCTTAAATTCTTTTTATTGAATTTCAAAAGTCAAGCAACAAACAAGCAATTAAAATGACAAGGGAAAAACACAGCCAGTCAGACCTTTAAACACAGGCATTCTTTTAAACGTGCAATTACAGGAATACAGTTATAGCTTTGCTGAAGGTATGAAGAGGTTAAAAAAAAAAAAGACTAAAGTTATTTTAAGCAGTTGGTGGTGATTGAATTAGCATCTTGTTATGGGCAAAGAGATTATACAAACAGTTATGAACAAAAATATCTATAGGAGGAAGAGACTTTGACAGCTTTGACTGGTCTCTTAGCTCCCTTTTTCTTTTCAAAAATCCTAAACGCCAATTATAGCTCAAACTTCAAGCTTTTACCCTAGCCAGATCAAATCGCTTTTCACAGGCATGCAAGGGAAGCATCCTAGCACACACGGGCTTGCTCTCTTGCTCAGAAAAGACTTTGTTTTAGAAATTAGTCCTAACAAAAAAGTATTCTAATGCCATTGTAGGATTGTTGTAAAGCAACTGAATGCCAAAAGCCATGCTGGGGAGTTTGACTAGAGCTCAAGTTTTACAAATGAGCATGGCAAATACCCGGTATTTCCAAAACAACTTCTAGTCAGGGATGTTATAAGGACTATGTGTGAATTAACCTACTGAAATCAGCAAGGTCTGTTACTCCGTGGTACCTCCTGGGAAAGCTCAAGCACAGAGGGGAACCAGCTCGGCTGTGCGGCCACCGGGAGCATGGTGGAGACTGCACCCATGAACCCCAGTCCTGGGCAGCTTCCCCGAGCTTCGCAAATCGCCTGTCCCTCAAACTGCTCTCCATCTGAGGGATGGCTTTTCTATTTTCCTCTCTTCCAAGCACGATGAGCCTTTAAAAAGCATTTTGAAGCCCTCCAAATAGGATTCCATCAACAGATACATGGTCCAAAGGGGGCGTTCACTGCTATGAGATAAGAACGACCTGCCCATCTTGCTGTGTCTAACAACAAGCAACTCAGCAGAAAGCCCATCCGAGCTGCCTTTTAGTGACACAGGAACTGTCACTGCTCGGTATACACAAGCATCCTTTTAGTTGGCTGAGCGCGGCGGAGGAGGGAAGGTTTTAAGCAAAGAGGGCGCTAGGAAAACAGTAACTGCTGTGGGCTGAACACAGTGCAGGGAAAGGATCATATCTGGTCAATTAATAACTGGGCCTGAAGGAGCTCCCTAGTGAGCACTTCTAACAGCCCAAACCCATCCCCAGCCTAGAGTCTACTCCAGTGCATTACACAGCACAACTTCTTACAGGAAAATCCCTTTTACTTGGCTGACTGAAACACAGCAGAGGGGTTAACTTTCAGCCGTACGAGCTTCTTTGTGCCTTAGTTTCCCTGCCGTATAATGAGGGCATTTATATTTACTCAGTTTGCATGAAGATCTGTCTGACCCTCAAGAGAAAAGCACTGCATGTTCAAGAATGTTGCACGTTCTCAAGAACTGCGTGTTCTGTTGCTGTTACTTATGTTGGGTTGAACATCAGGTTTTATTATGAGCAGCTTCACCTTTCTGATTTTCCACACACTGTATAATTTGGGATGCACTCGTGCCTGGGCATGTTTGTCTTTCCTACACCCAAATCTTCAATCATTTTTCACACAAAATTTTCAAAAACCTTAGAATGTATTTCTCCAATATACTTCTCAAACGAACTAGGTTATGAAACTAAATCAAGAGGATAAAACTCTAAAACCAAACAATATGTTTCAGTGGAAAAGGAACCTGACTCCAGCTTGCTACAGGCTCCCAGTCTCTACATCAACTGCCTGTCCACAAAAAACGCAATGGTTGCACCTCTGTCTCCAGGTGATTCAGGCAAGGTGAGAGCAAAGGTTGCCTCTCACCAGCCTCTCCTCACTGAGCAGAGAGCACCAAACTGCTGGGAGCTTGACCTGTAAGTGGAAGGTTACCATCCACTGGTTTGGCATAGTGGCATTAGCCAAAGCCAGTCTGGGGGTGAGCTGATTGATTCATACTGCAAAAACGCCTTGGGCTTGATAATCACATTTTTAGAAACGTTATTCAGTCAAAACGCGCTGTTAATGGCTTTAGATGTATTTGTTCCATAAGTAAAAACAGAAGAGCATGTGCCCACGCATTTACAGTCATACGCTCATAAACATGTTTTTGTAAAACACCCGCAGCTGCTCACGCTCCTGCAGGTGCGTGCACTCCCGGGCACAGACCTCAGCCTCCCGACCCTCCCCAGAGCAAGAGCTCAGCTACGCGCAGCCCCACGCACAAGCACGTCTGTTTCTTCCTCAGATATCCATCACACACTCTCAGTCCCCCTCTCCAGGGCTGATTATCTCAAAAAAAAAAAAAAAAAAAAAAAAAAACATGCCAGGCAAGCGCTGCCCACATGCAAAAGGCAACGCAGCTGTGCGCCTCTCAGAGCGAGGTATAAGCAGCCATCGGGAAAGCTAGACGTGGGGTTGGAGACGCACCCTCTGTGACCGTTTGTCACTCGTGCACCTTCACACACTGGTGTTTGCCAGCCACAGAAACCTGCAGGAATAGCTGCTCTACCCTATAAAAAATGAGAAGTGACACGCAAGGTGGAAGGGCGTTGGGGAGAGCGCCAGGTTTATTGGGAGGCAGTCACTACTCATTTGCTTGAAACTTAAATCACATTAGAACAAAGCAGACTATTCCTGCTAGTAACACAGGAAGAAAATGTTCTTTTTGTAACGCTAATCCTCACTGTAATGGTATGCTGGGGAACCTGTCTTTTTAGCACAGCCTGAAGGTGGCAGCAGTAACATTTCATACAGTTCACTGATCAATATTTTAACCCTGATGGAAAGGATGGGTATAGCTGGCCTCCTAAGAAGGAAACTGCGGGATTTAGGGCAATGACCTCCTGCCCTTATCCTACAGCACCTGCAAACGATGAAAAAACAAGCAAGTGTGATTAAAAGGAAGTAAAGTGTACTTTCAGATACACTCTCTGTGCCGGTCCGCATTCCTGAGCTGGTTCTGCACATAGCTCTCGCATACATCCCTCGGTCTGTCATAAAACTCCTCACTCTTCCCTTTCCGGCAGCTAGATACTTTCCTTCAGAAGCATTTCAAAATCCTGCGAGGCTCTTCCCAGACAGCCCAGTTCCAGCCCTGACCCACAGCCCTCACTGCTCTTCCACCTCCGTTCCCCCGGGACCATCGCGCTCGTTGGCCCAGCTGGCAGTTTAACACGCTGGGAAAACTCCCACGAGGGACCACCATGAACCCCACTACGCTGCCTGTCTCCTAAACCAGCACTTTAAAGCAGAGCCCCACAAATGACCTTACAGGGGGATTAAGCCACTGAGCCTTTCTTTAACTCTTCAAAGATCCATTTTTCAGTGACCTCACTTGGTTTGAAAGACCCGCAACACACTTTCTAATAAGTCTCCCCGGTGCCTTCTAGCTGGGCTGCAAGACACTGGGCATGGTAAAAACAGCAGGAGCAACAGCGCAAGCTAAACATGGAGCTAGCCCTTACTTTCAGCTGGAGAAAAGTTTAACACAGGAGAGCAAACAAAAGGAAGGTCACAGATATGACACTTGATTTTAATGCTACACTCGGACCATGATGCCACTGCTGCTGCCACTATGCAATGAACCTCATATGACTTTGCAGCACATGGGGTCCACATTCATCCACCACACCGGTGCTGTGAGGGAAACCCAGCTTTGCCCACCTCCTCCTTGCACCTGCCACTGTCACCTTTCTCCTGCCATAGCATATCAAAAGCTTTGCCTGGGAAGGAGGCAATTGCTCTTCATATTCCCCATTGAAATGCAGCAGAGAACAAGGAGAGCTTTCAGGAGGAATGCCCAAAAGAAAAGAAAAGAAAAGAACCTCGAAAAAACAATCAATGCTATAAACTTTAGTGGTGGATCCCACCCTCGGGCAGGCCAGCTACAAGACTTGAGTGGAATTTCATAGCACATGTTCTCATATTTCCACAGGAGCTGCAATCAATAATATGAAAAGGCCATTTTCATTATATTACCATTTATCAGCAGCACTGTGGTCCCGCCTGCAAGCCAAGGTTGGGAGCTCTATAGTGCTGGATGTGCTATGAGTGCAAACAGCACTGACTCCCCTCCCCCACCGCTGAAGGACTTAATCTGGTCCTGTCTCCCTCTTCCTGCAACTGCTCTGCACAGGTGAAGGCACAGTCCACCCAGGACAGGCATCACAGTAGTGAGGTGTGGAAAGCAGGATGATTTGGAAAGGGTATTGTGGACACCAGCTAAGCAGTTTCCCCATAACCCAGGACCATACGTACCTTGTTTCACCCCCCCACCTTGCTCCTCAGCTGCCCCTATTTCCACATAATTCAATAATTTTAAAATTGCCGAGTAACAAATATTAACAGTCAATGGCTTTCACCCATCAGCCATAGAAACGAAGATGAAAGAGGTTGTCCCTGCTGGCCCATGGTGACAAGGCGAGGAAAAAAAACAAGAGACAGAGTGGAAAAGTCATCAAAGCATGGATGCCCTTGATAACAGTGAGGGTTTCTACGGCCCCAGCCCTTCTCGATATGACAGCAAAGCTGCACACACAGGCCTCAGCCCTGGACCTCTGTGAGCATTGTTTCACCCCTGCTTTACGGAGGGGGAGTGAGGCACAGTGAGGGAAAGGTTAATGAGTGTAAGCCAGAGCTGAAGGCCTTCTCACCAGGAAAGAGCTCCTTTTGCCTTGAGTGACAAGATGTCAAGTTCCTCTGTGTGCACGTGTGGCGAGAGAGTTGCTTCTAGAGAAAGGGGAATGTCATCGTCTGCTGTGAAATCAGCAGAATTTAAATCCTATTAAATCAATTTATTAACGCTTAATTTGCATGAAATTAAATTCGGCCCCTATTCAAGGAGCCGTCACTCCCCTAAATCGTCAGCACTGAGCATTTTCCATGAGCCTAATTAAAAAGTCTGCTGGAGAAATGCCCACCTATTCCCCTTTCAGCACTCAACCTGTGCTTCCTGGTTATTGCTCGACTGCCCCAGGAGGTACCTACTCTGACCTACTCACGCACACTCTCTCCGTTCGCCCAGGAGAAAACCCTGCCTGCCTCTTGAAAGCCTGGGTGCAGGAAGACCAGAAAAGCCTTCCTGGCACCCCCAACATTTCTCAGTTTTGTATTCAGATGCTTGCCTGTGGTCAGGGTGCTCATGCTTATATAGAGTGGGAAGGAGAAGAAGAGTTGGAGAGAAGACGGGACAGACCTCAGCAACACTTACCCTAAGGGGGCCTTGGTCCTGTAGGAGCACTTACCTCTTTGATTCTCTGCAGTAGAGGGAGCAACCAGTCCTTATTCACCTCACAGTGACTGTCTAGGAAGGTCAGGACTCCTGCTCGCGCTGCATCTGCCCCTCGGATCCGGGATCGGATGAGACCTGTTCAGGGACACACCATGTCAGCTCCCACCCAGACAGCTGGGGAATTTCCCCAGGCAGCATTTCAGGCAACTCCTTCAGCACTGTCTTGTTGCGCTCACACATCCTTCAGTTACTGACCCATCTAAATCACATTTGGGTAAAACATGGTTCTGGTTTATTGCCTCCTTCTCAGCACTGCAAGGCACAGCAACCATTTTTTAAGGTCACCAGAGTAAATAAATAGCTCCATCTAGATTAATGATTGATGGCATTTGTGCCAATTCTTAATTTGTGTAATTATTTCTGCTGTCATCTTCTGGGGCAAAATAGGACTTGAAATACTTCCATAACCCCCTGCAGGTAACATAATCTAATGTAAACACAAGTCAACTGGGAATGGGACAGGAACAGCAGTCACAAATTCTCCAGAAGACAAAAGGGAATCTAAACAAATCTTCTATTACTTTCCTGTCAGCACCACATGTTCTCACACACAGTGAGGCAAATTCCTTAGTAAGCCTATAGTTTTGAGTGCCCCCAAATCTCTGAGTGAAATCCCCGCTGTCAGTAGGAAGCTGATAGTGGGATGCTTAGCGCCAGAATTACCTCTTAGACTACAGACTCTCCACTGATGTGCCCACTTCTGTATCCTAGCAAAATCATCCCTCCACCATGTCTCTCCTACCCCTTGGGCGCTGCTGATCTGCAGGTCAATGGGAACACTTTCTCTGTCAAGGGAAAAGACCAGTTCTCAAGGTGCTAAAAGCCTGCTCAGTTCATCAGCATCCCTGAGAGTGAACTTAAAAGTCCTTAGGAGTCTGCAGGTGCTGGCAATGGATTTCTAGGTGAGTTTGTGAGACAGAAAAATGAACAAGGAGGGAGGTTATAGAAAATACCTGGACACATGGATTTCACACTGGATTCTTTAGCAAGTTTGCTCCCCTTACAGTTTAAAAAGAAAGCCCTTCTTCCAACCAATGCATAGCTCCCTAAATTGCTATACAGGGCAATATTTATTTATATAGGAGTCACCTGGCTTTTCATCACTCATCCCACCCGTGGCCAATTCTCCAGTGAACTTCAATCTACCTAAGGAGACAGGTTCTTAGCTAACAGGAGGAACCATGTGTTGCTGAAGGGGAGCTGAGCTTCTTATGAAGACAAAACAGTGGTAATACAAAGGGAGACAAGGGCAAATAAAGAGAGAGAGAAAAGTGTTTCAAGGAAAGCTGCACTTCTGGGCCATGAAGAAGGAGGTCACTGACTCTGATATTAAAAATCCTCAGAAGAAAGGGGCCAAGGGACAGCAGAAGGGAGAGGGAAAGACGGCACAAAACTTGGAGCTGAGGTAACCTCCTGCAACACAGGTCATCCCTGTGTTTCTCTCTGCATCCTCTACTGCAGCTCCAAGATCTTGTGAGCAGTCAGAGTCTGCTGTATCCATCCCATCCCTTCGCAAGTCCTGGGAGGCCCTGACAGAGATGGATTTAGTGATGTACTAAGTGAGGCAAGCCCTCCAAGCTGGATTCCAAAACCCTGAATGCTTTATACAATATTACTACCTCTAAGTCCCTCCAGTGCTGGGGGACAGCGCATACGCCCATTAGCACGTATCCCAGTTAGACGGGAAAGAAAAGCAGGAAGGAGGTGCAGACCTATGGAGACAGCCCCTACCCTCCTGCCAATCCAGATAACTCCTCTCTGTCAATAGAGTGACTCCATATGGACACCAGACCTGCAAAATTGAAACCCTCCGGAGAAAGAATACACAGAAAATCCTCTCCATTCCTCATAACCCCCCAACCTACGCATGCCCTGATTCTTGCCTTTGATTTTCAGTGTGAAAAAATTTCTTTGTTTTTATTTTCCTAATACTGTGAAGCAGGACTTGAAAATACCCATTCAGACTATGCGGTGGAGTGGGAAAACGTCTCAAGAGGTTGCCAGCAGTAGCCCACTAGGGCATATATTCATCCTCCATACAGATCCTCTTAATCTTTCAAATATAATTAACTACACTTTTTTAAATTCCCACAGAAGCAGCAGGAGCAGATCTCATCTGTTTCATTAGAACAAACATCTTTAAAAAGAAGACCCGGGGCTTTGTTTTGGCTGTTCTAATTTTCTGGCTAATAAGCTACAGCTGAGCCTCATTGGATAGCTTAATAGCCCTATCTTTTTAAAGGGGGCCAAGGGTGGTGATGAAATAGATTCCAGTTCCCAGCCCTTTATCAGGTCTCCTTTTACCTGTGCTCTGCCCCCTTCAGACCCCAAGGGTCCCTGTTTGCAGGAACCTCTCCATCACTCCCACACCTCAAGAATCCGTGTTTCCCACCGTTCATCCAGGTCTTGGCCAGCAAAATCTTACCTTCTCGTTGTCCATTACGTAAGCATTTCACCTTGGGTAACTTGCCCAATAAGCGGCAGTCATCAGCTTTGGAAACATAAAGGGAGGCATGTAACTTAGCAGCGTTCAGATTTTAGCTTTCACAGCACAAATGGTCTTCTGAGGGAAATGAGGAGCAGGAAGAGGACCACGTTGTGGTCTGACTGAGTGTTTTTTAGGGTGCTGGCACTTCTAGTACACAATGCTTTTACTTCTCAGTTCACACAGTATAAATCAGGACTGACACAGCAGCAGCCCAGTTATAAAACTAGCGTTAACCTGACAGATTTACATAGACTGACTATAGTTGAATTATGCTATAAAGTCAGTGTGAAAGAAGAGTAGTGGCTGAGGTCAGATTCAGATCTTTTGCACGTTAAATGCAAATGACTATTTCTGGTAGCTGCAGAGCAACATTTAAGCTGTTTGACTCAGGTTTGTGTGGCAGGGCAGGGAAACCATGAGGTGGCCTGTAAGCCTTGGCCAAGGAGAAAGAGACGGTCAAAGTGAGCACCAGGTACCCCGTCTGTGGCAGGGGAGGGCAGACCCTGGAGGCTCCTGCAGCTGGGGCCATTCTCACACCCTGGGCGAGCAGCTCCGTAAGGACACCGTGCCCCCCAGGAGAGAAGCCCCACGGCCACCCGTGGCAGAGGCACAGGGGCCCTGCAGTCCTGTCCGCAGTTGCTGCCACTGCTCTTGCACCTGCTCTGGTGCTGCCTACCGCCCTGGTACCACCTGCTGGCCAGGGAGGACTCCTAGGAAGAGGTGGGGAGGAGGATGGAGCAGGAACTGAATTGGGTCACCACGCAGCTACACTGAGCGTGACTCCCTTTATCCCTGCACACCTACACCACGACCTCTGCAATCCCTTCACACATCCTACCCCTCTGCCTCTGCTTCCTCAGCCCTATAAGTACACATGCTTATGCCCTGTTCCCTCCTTCCACCCCTCTGTGTGTGTATACACCTCCAAACACTTTCATCCTGCTCCAGCAATCTTTGTTTACAGATACATCATTGCACTGGTATCCCCTATAACATATACAGAATTGAGGTTATCTGTATACACAAGAGGAGCAAAAGGGGCTGAAGTTTGCTAGTTATATAGGACTGAAGTTTCCAGCTTCACTGGGAACTTGCGTGCACATGGCTGTATGTTTGTTGTCCACATGCGGGAACAACTGCATCTGAGTGAATAAAGCGTCAATGAACTGACAGAGGTGAGAAATGAGATGTAATTGGGCACAAGATAAAAGCACCAATTGCTTGGAGGGGGTTGTAGAGAAAAACTGACCATCTGTTTATATCATATTACGTAAATACATGTATTTTATGTAAATATATGCAGAATACATGCCAGGAGGCTCAGACTACCACAGGAAAGAAGGGGACAGACGTAAGACATCTGAGAAGCGCTGATTTCGAGTAGCCAAGAGGCTGCTCTAAGTTACGTGGGAAACAGACCGCCCTCTGGTGCTGTGGGAACAAGACGAGTTGAAACCCACCTCTGCTCCTTCTCCCCAGCTCATGCCATCTGGCATGCTGGTACAGGAAAGATGTATTCCTACAAATCTTCCTCTTTCAGGAAGGCAAGTGCTTTGTACATTTAGCCAAATAACTGTCATTTTTTACTCCACCCTTTCAAAAAGCTTGTTCTGCTTGAATTCCAGGGCAACTCAAGCCTTTGCACCTGCTCCTTTTCTCCATATGAGCTGCTCTACTGGTTTGTAGGCTAGTCCAGTCTAGCCTCCAGTGCACCGGAGTCCCTCCAAAGCTCACTGGAATCACTGGAAACCTCTTCACTGGCTTCAGTGACTTCTGAGTAAGACCTCTGTGCTGGAGACAGACAGATGAGAAGCGGGTCTGCTGTGAAATCTGTCCCTAACGTTCTCTGACGCAGTGCCTATTTATAACATCCACGAGCAAAATGTGGATACAATTTTTTCCTTTTTTTTTTAATCCTCTCTGTTTTTGTTTCCCTGATTCCTAGTAAATGGCTACATTTTGCAGCTCCTTGAAATGTAAGTGCCATGGACCACTCAACTTAGCCATATTTTATCATCCCTTTTATGCCTAAGGCAATTTTTTCAGACACTTACTCTCTGCAGCCTGAATCTCCCACTTGCTTTTCTCAGAGGGCAAGGTCTTCAGCTGTGGACAGTCAGGGCAGTTCTCTAGAAGCCTCTGGGGCTTCAGCTACGGACACTTCCTGCAGATATGACCTATGGATTTCACACCGCTAACAAGGTGAAAACAGCAGGAAGACTTGGGCTGTCTGTCACATAGAGCACCATTTCTGATGCATTTCAGAAATAGGCAACTTGTACAAGAAATCCTTTTTCCGTTCCTCTACACACCAGTGAAAGCCAATCAAGAGTTGCTGGCCATTTATGTAACTTTACACAGAGTATACGTCAGGAGGCTCAGATTATCACAGGAAAGAAAAGGGGGCCAGATGCAAGACCTCCTGTGTAGTTACAAGTGGTATAAACCCAGAATTGCTCCTGGCTACAGTTGACAGCCTGACCAAACACACAAGAATTGCAGCAGGATAAACCCGAGTAAGGAATGGAATCGTGTCTCCTCGTCAAAGAAATGATTTGTGATGTGCTTTTCTGGTATCTTTTTCATTAGAACAGGTTTATCATTTGGAATTTGAATCTGCCAGGCACGAAAGCAAACCTAGCTTAGCAGGGTTTTCTCTCCACACCTACAGAACTTTATTAAATTTTTTTTTAACATACAACCATTCTCCCTGCTCTCCATGTTAATCTCAACCTTTCAGAGTCTCTTTTGGTTTGGCCCCTTGCTTTAAATGTACAAAGGATCACTTACGATCATCGCTGAAGTCATCCACTAGTATGATTTCATGGACGAGATGCACCGGGGTGCGGTTAAGCACACTAAAGAATTAAGAGAGAAAAATCCATGACAGGGCTTAACCAACACAACAACCCAGTAAACAGGGAAGAAAGACTAGGAATCAATCCTTGCCAAAGCACAGAAGATTTGTATTTGCGGTAAGAATATACTAGAGAAGACCCAGAACTGCCCCCATAATCTAGAGTTCCCAGGTATCTGCTACCTGTAGTCTGATCTAAGAGCAGAGCACCCAGTATTCCTGGGAAATAGGTGAGATCCACCCTTGTGGAAACAGAGGACCAAAACAGGCAAGGAGAAATGGGCTTCAGGTATATGCTTATTGCACAAAGTAAGTTTCATAAAGAGACTTACGCCACTGCTGCCATCACCTGTCCACCTCTTCTTGAGCTAATGATAACTTACTGATAGCAGGACCAACACAGAGCAAAATTACCCAGCTGAAACCCATCTTTACAAAGCTCACAGCCATGGCAGGACAACTCCCATTTCATTTGTGAGCTGATTGTATTTCAAAGACTGCAGAGAGGATAAGAACAGGGTTTTAGCCTGCCTATTTAATGAAAGAGACTGGAGGAAGTGGTTCAAAGGTCCCTCCAGGAGGGGAGGTATTGTGAAATGAAGCTACAATCTTCCCTTAACTATATCACCAAGTTTTTATCATTATTAAAAAGGCTGGACCTGCTCTTCCCCTTTCTCATACTGCAGAGAAGTCAGTAGAAACACAAGAGTGTAAAATCCTTCCTCAGCAAAGGGTCAAGGCTGACTTCTTGAAGGGAAAACATTTGCTGGTACAAACAAGTACAGCGGAGGCAGAGAGTGCACGGTTATTAGCGTGAAGGTCTTACACTAACGTGTGTGTGTGACCCTCTTCGGAACGTCTCGCCCCCGCGGAGGGTAAAAACCTTTAGTTACCACATTACAACAGAGTTTGCCCTGTCTTAGCTTGCGATTTCTGACATTTGAGACTTTGGCACAGAGACATCACAGGTCCCGTCCCCGCCACGCAGTACTGCTGTGCTTTAACAGTTGGCAGGAGATGGCAGAGTAAATTGCTGTACTGAGTGCCACTGCGGCAGGGTATGACGGAAGAATTTGAACTCTAAGGTTGCAATTATGTAATAGAAAGACAAAATCTCAATGCACTGCAGTTTTGTGACGTACTTGATTTTGACTTATAGAGTCAGTTTGATCCTGTGATTCATTTCAGAACTTAAACTTCTGCACCTTCATCTCAAGTACAATTCCTTTCTCAGGAAGGATTTAAAGGCCCTCTGAATTTCACAGCCACACCTTAGTTTGCCTTTTGGTCTGGGTTAGAAAATTCTCTCAAATCTACCACTGGCATAATGGGACAGATACCCTATCAGCTAACATCCTTGAAGCCACTGACACATCCAGAGCATTGTCAACAGGTTTTCCAGCCTCTCAGGCTCCCAACTCTGCGGCAAAAAAAACCAGAAGCCCTGGAGACTGTATCCCTAACTCAGATCCCAATAAAGAGGGCTCAGAAAGCCAAGATCCTCTGGAGACCTAGGTGCCCAGCAGCTATCAGCCAATCTGAAGGGGTCTCACAAAGTCATCCCAGGATGTCGCAACTCCCCCTGTGTGACTCTGCTCATGGTCTCCAAAGCACAAACTGGAGGCAGTCCACTGAAGCTTGTCGTTGTACCAACTGAGTGGAGAACAGAAGTGTACCTCGTGCATTCGCCCTTGACGAGAACTGCCGTTCCTCACTGCTTCTTCCCTTGCCAAGAACATGCCTCCATTGTTACTTTTCCAACCAACCTTTTCTGCTCTTTTCATGGGATATTTTTTCCATAAACCTTCGTCTCGCTCCTTGCTGGTCCTTCATAGAACATCTCTTACCTGATTACCTGTAAGCCCATCCCATCCGGAAGGGCTTGGAATAACTATGGCTACTGCTAGGTGCCTTGACAATGGCAGTGATGGTGTACCTTTACCCCATTCGGTTCTGGAACTATATCAGTGTAAGAACTGTCCCAGAGAGAAAAAGCATCAAGCTTGAATATTTGGAAGGAGAATAGGCCATCCCAAGACAGATGCTCTCATAGAGACAGGTTCCTTTCCATTTCTTTCAGTGGAAATCCTGACCAAAAAAATAGCTTTACCTCAGAGGAGAGTGGGTAAGGCTAGAAGGTTCTTTGTGGAGAGCCTCAAAATCACTTCCAAGACCTGAATTACTGCCCCTACAGTGACCTCGGAAATACAGAACCAGCTACAGACAAAACATGGGATCGTGAGCATTTTTAGAGGACTGGTGGTCCACCATTAGAGTATTTAGGACACCATCAAGCATGCAGCATGGAAAGCAGACAGGGAACTGTGGAGCGCTCTGTGCTCAAAACACCTTGCAATGGCCCCTGAAAAGCTGAACAGACTCAGTCGTCGTGTGAAATCTTGAGCCCAAGCAGCTGCAGTGATTGCCACAGAATGATACCAGCTGATGACCGAGTCTATCATTTCCGGACATCGGTAAGGTTGCCATCTCCAATTTCAGGATATTGGCAAAAGCCATGATTTTCCCTCACTTCAGATGTTTCACACATTAAGGTTGGTGATGGGGGAAGAAAGGGAGGAAAAAGGCTTTTGCCCCCTAAGCATTACTGCAAGAGTAACTCCGCCAGCAATTGTGACAGCAGGCGTCTTAACAGTGACAAGCTGCTGTGCCCACTAGCCTCTTAATCACAGTCAGGCATAGCCTTACTGTGAGCAGGGCTAGACAACACAGCCTTGGAAATGCCAGCAACCAACACAGAGTATTAGAAAAAGTGGCTGAATGCCCCTCCTCCCGCTGGGGCACGCAGAACAATTTAGATGTGCTGTTCCCACCTGTCAAGTGTTTTTTAATTATTATTATTAATAGGTTTGTTATTTTTAAAAAATCCCCATATGTGAGAGCTGAGTTCAGCAAATTACCGCAGCTGAGAGTCAGTACAGAGAGACAGGAGAGCAATATCATGCTCGGTGGAATATTTAACAAGCACTGATTGCCTGGAAGCCTAACTTGGTGAAACCTGCAGGAAAAAAGCAGACTTGTAAAAAAGCCAGTAAAATAAATAAATAACCCACTGAGAGCAGCGGGGGAGACAGTGGGCAACTTGAATATTCAGAGCCTGCCTCCACCCAGTCTCCTGCATAGATTCAGCTGACAGAAGTGCAATGCAGGTCTTAACTCTATAGGAAAGCACTTGCAGAGGGTCTAATTCTGATCTTGCTTGTACCGGCAGGAATAACTCCACTGAAACCACTGCACTGGGCTGTACTCTCAGATCCGGGTTGTTAGTGGTACTTGCTGCCTCAGAAAATTCCCCTCAGAGCATCTCTTATGGAAGAAAAAGCAAGGGACAGTTTTCAAGGCACTAGCCTAGGGCTAGGGAGATGTGCCAACAAGTCTCTTCAGTTACGGACTCCCACCGTCTCCCACTGACAAGCCATTTGCTACAAACTCTGTGCCTCGGTTTGCCACTCCATAAATCAGGGATAATCTCCCCTGAATGCCTGAGACGGTCATGTACCACTTCTGCATCAGTGATGGCACCACTTCTGCATCAGTGATGGCCACAGCTGTGTCCCCACTGGGCATCTCTGGACCTGGTGCGTGTTAGGGCTCCCTCTTCAAAATGGGGGCTGCACAGCACAGATGATCTTGCATCAGCAACAAAAATTAGTACGACCTGGGTGCAGCTCTGTGCCCAGCAAGACTCAGATGTGGCCCTTGGGATCCTGAAGGGAACTGGAACCAGGGGAGCTACAGTACTTAACATTTGGGCACATCAGAAGGAACTTGCACTGAGACCAGATTTACGTTGCATTGATGTCTACGGAATTTTTAATTTTTTTCCCCCTAGGGAAGAGGGAGAAAACATTTTATGAGAGAAATCAGAAAGAGCCTCCAGGGCCATGGCAGAAACCAGGACGTTGGGACCCAAAGTAGTGATTTTGATAGCCTTTCCGTGCTCCACGTGCCGTACAGTACCTGGGGTCTGCACACGCGCCCTCACCTTGTCCTCACCCCAGCCTCGTTTCAGGCCTGTCCTCTCTGCCTTCAGTTGGCTGTCCTGCCTTGTTCTCCATGCTCACTTGCTGCTCGACGTCCTCTGCCCCTTCCTCACTCCCACTGTTCCCCCCATCCCCAAATCAGTGTGGCATTTGCTACCGAAACATCACCTGCTCTGCGGCATCCCATGCCCACCGTGTTTAGGAGACTGGCAGCTCCCTGGAGCAAGGACCATCTGCTTCCCCATGTCCACCTGGTGCCTTGCACGACACCGCTCTGCTCACAGCTGGTCCCTAACATCACCACCACAAAGGCGATTCATCATCCCACGCACGCATTTCAGGTTTCATATTTAAAAGCCTTGCCTTTGACTGTGACCAGCTTTCTTCTCTTTCTGCAGCATGTAAGAGATGTCATTTCTATGAGGGATGCCAGAGCCATTACAGCGCTCAGAGGTGGGATCCATCCTGTCACCATCTAAAAGTCAAGAGTCTAGCTGAGGCAAGGTTTCCTCTTAGTTGTGGAGTACACCTCCCAACGCGGTTTATTCCAGCTTAAGCTAGTTGAATGAAAGCACCTATTTGCTTTTCCTATCTGCCTAACCCCCAGTGCTTTACTTTTAGATGGCTAGAATGAGTGACATACATCTGCCCCCTGAAGATACTCAGTCAAAGGGAAATGGAGAGAGACAAGAGGTTTGGGTGTCCCCTGATGGGTAACAGGGGAAGGAGAAACCTGCAAGAAGGTCCTTGCTGGTACAGACCGTACCAATCTCCCACAGCTGGTGGGATGGCCTGGTCTTGTCTCCTACTGAAAGATACCGAAAGGAGCGGGGCAAGGGGAGCATAAACCTACTGTCACGTCACCATGGCAGAGCCAGTTTAAGCAGCAAACAAGAAGGGCTCTCTGCGTCCACAAGACATAGAGGGTTGACTAGAGTAACGGTGAAGAACTTGGTACACAAACTGATGGTAGAGGGACCTCTCTGAGCCTTACCCCAGC